GAAGGAGTGGGGAAAGGGCACAGCCCAACAGCTAAAAGCAGGCGGGCTGCAGCAGGGATGGCACCAGGCTCTTTCTGGCGCTTGGGTTGGGCGGCAGCCTGGTCTCGTCCCACTGCAGGCTGGATCTGGCAGCCACTGCAGGGTGGGACCAGTGCTCAGGGTGGGTAGCAGCCTGCTTTTATCCTGCTGCATGCTGAAGACAGCAGTGGCACTGGGCTTTTCCCAGGGGTCAGTGTGGCCCATGGCAATGGTAAGGGACCTGCTGCCACCCCAAAATTCATAATGATGCATAAGTTTGTTTTCTGAATGACTGCAACTAACTTAGAACTGAGTGGTAAGTCTGTGTGTTTCTTTCCAATGTGCAATAGACTTGTCTACACTGAACTATATACGCTAATAGGCTGCAGCCTGCTGTCACCTAGCTTTATGATGTTCCTCTGCCCTGTAGTTCTGTGTTATCTCATTTAGGATAACTAACCTTACTAATTATGTTGTTCCTAAATTTTTCCCTAATCATTGCTTGCCTCTCCTTTTCAAGGTCATTTGATTTAATATAAACCGACACAAACATAATACAAATAAGAAAAATGACCACTATAGCAACAACAGTTGCAGTACAGAACTTTGTACAGTAAAAGCTGTGTTAACCGGCACTTTATTAGCTGGAAAACTCTATTAACTGGCATCCAAGTGATGCGGCAAAAGCGAAACTGGAAGTACCACTTCCGAGGGACTTCCTGTTTCGTTGCCACGAGCCGGAGTTTTTCTTCGCCACTTTTTCGGCCCACGGCCCAGGGCAAAGCAGCCTGTGAGGGAAAAAGCAGCCTGCGCAGGGGCTCCCTCCCTGTCCCCCAGCACACCGTCATCGGGGAGTGCACCAGATGGTGCACATTTGATTAACCAGAATAGTTGATTAATCGGCATCCCCCATTCCCAGGGGATGCCGGATAACAGAGCTTTTATTGTAGTACCTGCAGTGTTGTGCAATGCTCCCAACTGTCTAGTTAACTACTACTTCTATTCTTATTTAGTCTCTGGTCGTTTATCAGATGACAGAAAAACCAAGTGGATGGACCCAGTGTAAAATATCTACTTCTCACCCATTCAACAACTTTAAAAATGTTTATACGGGTTACACTAAAGGCTTAGCAGTAAATTGTTCTGTTGTATAACGATGTCGAAGTTTCTTTTCAAGATATCTACATGACCTAATTTTTTATGTCCTGTTTCCAAAATAGACTCTTAGTAGGCCAAGTCCCACTGACTTTTAATGACACTTCAGTTCCTCAGGCCCTTTTAAACAGTATTTCAGGAGTGGTCCCCAAAATACTGGATGTCTAAGGCCATGGCAACTGCTGGTTCATGGAACCTCCTACCTCTATACTGTCCTCATGTTCAATTATAAGTTTGATGCTAATGTTATGTCATCTGCAGGTTCAAAACGTTTGGAGGCTACTATGTAATATATATTTTTATTTTTTTTATTTATTTATTTTACTTTCCTGAGATAGCATGGCAAAAGTAATCTCCATTCACCAGTTAAACAGAACGTATCAAATCAGAATATTCCTTTAAGATATATACCTACACCAGGGCTGTCAAACTCACCTGGCCCCATGGACCCCCTGTCTCCAGGGACCTGGATCCAGCACATGCAGCACACACTCTGGGTAGTTCAGGACATGTGCCACGCAGTGCCTGCTCTAGGACCTAGACCGCACACAGCGCCTGCCCCTGAGAAGCTGCCTGCAGGCACTGAATGCAGAGCAGGTCCCAGACTTGCTGGGGTGGGACCTGGGTGCAGCACAAATTCTGAGCCCTGTGCACCAAGCCATGCTTCAGACTTTGCACCACGGGCCAGACAATGGGGCTCTGCAGGCAGGATCCAGCCCACAGGCCACATCTTTGACACTCCTTATAAAAACATTATTAAAGTTGTTTTCTGGATAGTATTGTATACTTTATGTGAAAGATTGGTTGTGGGGGGGACCCCGAGTGCCAACCCAGACCCAGGAGGCACCAGTTGCTGAGCCAGGGGGCAGGGGGGCCCTCACGTGCTGCGCAGCGGACCTGGAAGTGGACTGGAAGTATTTCGAGCGCATGTGGGACCCCACCCCCGTGCTTCCACAGGATGCTCCATCTACCCCATCATCTCAGTGTTCATGAGCTGCACCTGGTACCTCGAGGTATGTAGAAAAAACATATAAAGCTGTGTCTGTGGCCGAATTGCTGAATCTGCCAAATCTATTTGGATCCAGAGATTCGGACGCCAAATTGGGCTGAATTGAATCAGCAACCAAAGCTTCGTACAGCCCTACTATAAATACAAGGTAAAAAATAAAAGGGATTAAATATTTAAAAAAAGACTATGCTATTCATTTTTATTAACGGTTTTATTTTAAACACATAATGATGAAGCGACTCTCCCCTCCCTTCATTGCACTCCACTGCCTGGACTTTAAAGGGTTTGGTTTAAGATGTGGTTCTTTAGCAGGGTGACAAGAGGCACAATAATATGAAATAACTGGAATAACTTGTCCCCCTACTTCCATTTTCTGTGCACTCTACTAGTAAACACTCTGTAAATGCCTTATTACTCCCCTCCACTTCTGAAGTTCATGTCTCCAAATTACTTAGGCACCCTTGGCTCCCACTGCAATCAGTGGGAGTTGACCCAGCACTTTGTGGAAACAAACCCTTGCTGTTCAATCCTATGTACACTACCCAAGTGCTCCAAAAAGCAGCACTAGTAGCATTACACTGCATGCCAAATACCCAAAAAAGAATCTAAATTGCTAAACTTCCAAAGTGCTATGCACCCATCACAACCCAATATGCCAAAATGAAACTGCAGTTACATAAAACAGACACAAAATTCCAATTAAATTTTGTTCCAAAGGTTTAGTGTCTAACTGGATGAATAAACCAATGGGTACATAACAGTACAAACCTTAAAGCAGAGCTTTCCAAAACAGATCTTATTTTAAAAAAAACAAACAGATTTTATTTTAGATATAACTTAAATTCAAGATATTTACTCGAATCTGACACTGTTGTTGTGCCCCCCACCCCGGGGGGGAAAATCCCCTCATCTTTGATTCACATACAAGGCTGCCATAGCTGACTCTGGCCTAGGCAAACCAGGAACAGCTGCCTGCCCCACCTCCAGTTGCCCTCTGCAGCTTCTGCTCCCCACCCCCAACCCCATCATTACTGTCAGGTGCAGCTAAGCTCCAGCTCAGGCTGGATTTACTTCCAGGCATGGAAACTCCACCCTTGCCTCACCAATCAGTATCACCACCACTGCTGCAGTGCCTGGCAAGTGCTGTGCTTCCATGTGCTGTGCTCCAAGGAGGGAAGAGAGTCTAAGCAGTGTCTGAGAGTAAAGGGGGAGGTGGGGAAAAGAGACAGATTATGGGGAGTGGAAGGAAGGGGCAGAGGCTACTGGGGGGGGGGAGTGCGGAGGTGGGTTCCAGTGCTGCGGGGAGAAGGAAGGATGAAGGAGAGAGAAGGGGGGGCAGTGGGCAAGGGGGCATCTGACCGCCCCCCCTCCCTCCCGTCAGCTTCCCCTGCAATAAAAATTTCCCATATATAGAATCTGATAATTGGGGTGTCATCTTAAATTCAGGGTTGACTTAGATGCGAGTAAATATGGTAAATGTTAGGATTCCCTTAGGCTCCAATCCAGCTAGCAACAGCATGCAAGTGAATGACGTTGCGCATGGAGCTTCTGAGATGACTAACGTATAAGATTCAGGGGCTTCTTTTAATATATTCTGATAGGTTTAAGTATGTCTCTGTACAAAATTCTTCAAGACAAATAGGACAGGTGTAAGCATACAAAAAACAAGAATCATTTCCCACAAAACTGCACTCTGCATAGAATTTTAGATACATTTTCCTTGCACAGAAGCACTTTTGAAAAAATGCGTTTGCAAGATAACTTTATTCAACAGATGCATGGTTCATCAGGTACAAGGTGCCCTGCAAATTCATAGGCTTGCTCTGTTTGGCAAGTTTGTGTCAAAACACAACCCAATGAAAATATTTATGAACCACTTAATTTCCTTATTTATATTAGGGTTTTTTTTCATTTAAAAGTAAAAATTACAGACAAAAAAATTATTATGTGCACATTTACTCAATATTGACAACCAGATAGTAAATTTCATCAGGTTCACAGGAATGTGGATAAAAGGCTTACAAAGTTAAGAACATCCCTATGCTGCTGTCAATTCCTATTCAAAATTAAAGAGAAATGAAAAAAAACGAAAAGTATCTGGAAGTTTCAAAGACCATAAATATTAACCTTGAAAATTCAAATGGACTGGTCACATACTTTCAAAGAGAAAAAAATTGTGAGAAAAATTTTAGAAAGCAACCCTCACTTTGAAGTCACTACAAGCACCTGTCCAAATCCCACCACATTACATTTCAGCAGAGCCTGAAACCAAAAGGAACCAAAGGTGCCTGGCATTTAGCAAGCATAGGTATATGCAGACACACTCAAGAAAATATAATGGAAGACCATACAATCTTTTGTACAGGAATCTCATGATAAATCACTCGAAATGCAATCATCTTTCCATCCAGCTGCTCAAAAGCTAAATCAGTTTATCAAAATAAAAGAGGGAAACGTAGAAATTCTGCATTTCTCACACTGTGAATTATACACAAGTTGTTAAAAAAAAAGACTAAAACAAAAAGTAAAAGAGGAGTAGACTGTTCAAAATGAAAACATAACCAGACATTCAAATCAGAGATCTTTTCAAAGGATGACATTCAGTTAGCATTCAAAATATATTTGTAGGAGGAAACTCAATTTCAGGTGAAAAAATAAAGCTATTGTCAGAGCAATAATTACTCTTAAAGCAGACAGGCTTACATTTAAAATGGTGAACTACTTTATTTTTGTTTCAAATTATTTTTTTATGAAGCAAATTTTTAGCATTTATTGAAAACCAACAACAACAAAATGTAAGTAAAAATCAAATACCTACCTATAATACCGAGACTGTAAATAGGTTGAACAAACAGTCTTTGATACATGGCTGGCAGACCCAAAATCTATTACTTTAACCCTGTATGGCTGCCGGACAGGATCCACCAACATAATGTTCTCCGGTTTGAGGTCAGCATGAATTAAACCAAGACTTTTTAGTTTTTTCAGTGCAGTGGCTACCTGTTGCAGTATAGGCCGTATTACTTTCAGTTGGAGAGGGCTGAATTTGTTTTGTTTCAAAAAGTCATATAAATTCTGTTCCAACATTTCAAAAACCAGACAAGTATGGTTACGATGCTGAAAACATTCATAAGCTTTCACAAAATTAAATTCATCTGCATTTTCAGTACTCAGTCTTGCTAATATGCTCACTTCTATTTGCCCTTGGCGTGCATAAGAAGGATGATTCTTCAGTATTTTGATTGCCACAATTTCATTTGTCCCTCTTTTCCAACACTTTACTACTTGTCCAAAGGTTCCTCGCCCAAGGAAATCAAGGACCTCATAAGTGTTTTTCACTGAGCACAACACCTCATGCTGTACTAACTGATAATCTCCATCTCCACTGGTACCACTCTGTTTCGAAGTTGCAGTAGTTGTCACAACTGTCACTGGGTTTCCCACACTCGTTTGCAACATTGCAGGCAATATGGACAGCTCGTCAACAATCTGCATCGCGCTTTGATTATCCAACTCTTCACTCTTACGCTTCAATCCACATCGCTGGGGTCCGTCCTGTAAATCTAACCCGCTTCCCTGTGTCCTGGCCTGAGGTGCCTCCACTTGAGGTTGCTGCGCCCGCGCTGCTAATACCTTTGTAGCACCTGCAGTATTTTTTAAAGCAACAGCACTTGACTGCAACAAAAAGTTCTGTCCTCGAGGTCTGTCAAATGGGTTCTTAGTCTGAAAGTAAGTACTAACTATGTTGGGAGTCTGAGTAATTCCAAAGTTTTTACCATTCACATAGATCCGTGGGTAGGTTCTTTCGTGGTACACACAACTGCTTGGCTCTACTTTAAGTTTCTTCACACTACAGAAGGCACTTGACTGGGTTTGATAAACATATGGTGGGTAAACCAAGACTTGTGAGGCCATACCTGAAGGAAAGGAAAAAAGAGAGTATCAGTAAGAAATCCATACTGAGGTTCATTGCAATTTTTCCCCACAAGAAAATGAGCATAAAGTGACCGCACTTTAATTGGCTGTTAAACAGTTTGTTACTTAATTTTATGTTAATTCACCGCGTCTCCTTTTCCTTTCAATATCTATATTTCATACTACAGAGACTGTAGTAGCTGAGAACTGTATCTACTTTGTGTTTCAGATGATCTGTAGCACGTAAAACTGGGGTGGTTTATAGAAACTCTTGTCAGTGAGCGACTTTTTAAGGTGGTAATAACCAACTTTGTGCTCCAGAAATTAAACTTTCATTTAAAAGTGGTTCAACACTTATAATTGCAAAGATAACCTTCAAATTATGAGAGGAAAACTTGTGACCTCAACCTGGATCTATGAACAGCTTGTAATAATAGCTGCGAGAGTTGTCAGTCGATTCATCCAAGGCAGGGGTCAGCAACCTTTTAGGAACAGCAAGCCAAAATAACACAGCTGAGTCCACATACAGGCCACTGCTGCCACTTCCCCTGCCAAATTACTACCACCATGCCTGCAAACTGACTGTTGCTTTCCCCACCACCATGCCCGCAAACTAGCCGCTGCTTCTCTTGCTGCCAAATGCTGCTGATTATCCATTTAGATTTACCATGAAAATCTAATAGTATAAATCAAAAAGTACTTTATTAGCCAACAAAAGAGGAATTCCATGGCAGATAGCTTTACAAAGAGACAAAGATGTAAAAAAGAGAAAAGCCAGACCTAATCTCATTATACACTGCATCAAGTTAAAATCTCTTCTGTTTTCAAGGCCCTAAATAATTTCACTTCTGTTTACATTTACTTTTCTCCCTTTACATCCGTCAATCCTTCTCCTCTGCCAATTATGTCAGCATTAATGCCTCATTCACCCATTTTGTCTACAATAAATTCCTTGTCTTTCTTTTAAAATGCTCCAGTCCGTATCGTATGGAATATTTTCCTAAATACAGACCACATCAAGCAACCTGCTTTTTTCTTCAGTTTCCATCTTAACTCATTTTAATGATACCTATAAGCATAGTCAGCCATAATAATTAAAACAAACAATCCTAGTCATTCCCTCCTTTGGGTTTTCTAGTGCATCTCATGTACTCCAGATGTGCTATGGTTAAAACTATTCAGAACATGGACTGTCCATACCAGTGGCACCGGCACCGGCCACTGAATGTGGCAAACAGCAGACTGGAGAAGGAGCAGAGTAGCAGATCAGGCAGGCAGCAGAAAGCAGAGCAGCAGCCTGGGCACGGGAAGGGGATTGGGGTGGCAGTTGGGAAGTGTACAGAGATTTATACCGTGTACCTGCCAAAAAGGTTGGTCCCACAGGTCTGTATCATCTTGTACAGCACCAAACATTAATGGTGATCAAGGATTCCAGGCACTGTTATAGTACAATAAAGAAACAATTTTGGCCTGATACATTCTAATGCAGGTAGAAACAAGTACTATATTTTTCATAGATTCATAGATGTTAGGGTCGGAAGGGACCTCAATAGATCAAGTCCGACCCCCTGCATAAGCAGGAAAGAGGGCTGGGTCTAGATGACCCCAGCTAGATACTCATCTAACCTCCTCTTGAAGACTCCCAGGGTAGGGGAGAGCACCACCTCCCTTGGGAGCCCGTTCCAGACCCTGGCCACTCTAACTGTGAAGAAGTTCTTCCTAATGTCCAATCTAAATCTGCTCTCTGCTAGCTTGTGGCCATTATTTCTTGTAACCCCTGGGGGCGCCTTGGTGAATAAATACTCACCAATTCCCTTCTGTGCCCCCGTGATGAACTTATAGGCAGCCACAAGGTCGCCTCTCAACCTTCTCTTGCGGAGGCTGAAAAGGTCCAGTTTCTCTAGTCTCTCCTCGTAGGGCTTGGCCTGCAAGTCCTTAACCATACGAGTGGCCCTTCTCTGAACCCTCTCCAGGTTATCCGCAACCCTCCTGAAGTGCGGCGCCCAGAATTGCACGCAGTACTCCAACTGCGGTCTGACCAGCGCCCGATAGAGGGGAAGTATTACCTCCTTGGACCTATTCGTCATGCATCTGCTGATGCATGATAAAGTGCCACTGGCTTTTTTGATGGCTTCGTCACACTGCCGACTCATGTTCATCTTGGAGTCCACTAGGACTCCAAGATCCCTTTCCACTTCCGTGCCACCCAGCAGGTCATTCCCTAGGCTGTAGGTGTGCTGGACATTTTTCCTCCCTAGGTGCAGCACTTTGCATTTCTCCTTGTTGAACTGCATTCTGTTGTTTTCTGCCCACTTGTCCAACCTGTCCAGATCTGCTTGCAGCTGTTCCCTGCCCTGCGGCGTGTCCACATCTCCCCATAGCTTTGTGTCATCTGCAAACTTGGACAGAGTACATTTCACTCCCTCGTCCAAGTCACTGATGAAGACATTAAAGAGTATAGGTCCAAGGACCGAACCCTGCGGGACCCCACTTCCCACACCCTTCCAGGTCGAAACCGACCCATCGACCACGACTCTCTGGGTGCGACCCTCCAGCCAATTCGTCACCCACCGGACTGTGTAGTCATCCAAGTCACAGCTTCTTAACTTGTTCACCAGTATGGGGTGGGATACCGTATCGAAGGCCTTTCTGAAGTCTAAGTATTTATTTGATCATTACATTTTGAACATCAAAATAAATTCTGAACTGATGGCCATTAATGTTTAGAGGCTGACTCAGTTTCTACTGTTAATTTTTTTTTTCCTTGCTAGGACTAATCCTGCAAAACTCAATGAACTTTCCCCAAATAATACTAAATGGTTCAGTGAACATTTTTTTTAAAGCTAAAACCTCAACATAAACTGTATTCACCTTGTACTCACACTGACAGAACATGATGAACTGAACTAAATAAATCCTGCAATAAAATGACAAAAAAAGATGTTCTTTTTTTAGGGATATGAAGAACTTATCAAGATAAGAACTTATTTCCGTACCCGCATTCCATAGCCATACATCAACTTGGAATGTAAAACAGACCAACATATGCAACAGGGGACTGTTTCAAAATTAAATTATGAAGAGAAGATGGGGGGAAATTACACAAATTTCTGACAATACAATAATTTCTTGACCCCATGAAAGGAAAGGTGAAAGGTCAAATTACCATATATTTAGGATATTTTGGGTCTAAAGCCTTATCCTCTGTAGTATTTTACTAAAAAATAGTTTGTGCAAAAATTGTGCATGCTTATGAAATTTGCAAATGAAACAAAGATGAGAAACTTTCAACAGGGAGGAGGATCAGATCAATATGCAAGAAAAAACAGGAAATAAAGTGAAATAAAAATGGTATGAAATTTAGCAATGCAAAGTACAGTCATACACTCAATACATACTGTAGTTACTTGAATTCAAGACGAGGTTTTCTCCCACATCAACATGGGGAAAAAGACTTATCTTGGATTTAAGTATAAGATGGCTACTGTAGCTCTGACTCTGGCCCTGAGCTGCACCAGCAGCCTGCACCCCCTTCCACCTGCCCTTCCCTGCAGCCTCAGTCCCCTCTCCACCTCCCACCCCAATCAACCAATCAGCAGTGGCACAGCTCCAGTCCCAAAATGCTTCTGCATGGCTGGGCAGGTGCCTGAATCTGCATGTGGTCTGTGCCCAGGAGGGAATGGAGCTGGAACTGTGCCTGACAGTAAGCTGGGGGGAGAGAGGAGGTAGAGGCTGCGGGTAAGGGGGTAGGCAGGGCAAAGAGGCTGCAGGGACCAGGCAGTAGGGTTGCAGGGGTCAAGGCTGTGTTGCAAGGGGTGACAGGCTGCAGAGAGGCAGGCAGGGAGCAGACAGCAGGAGGGACAAATGGTGGGGGTCACCTGCCCCCCGCTCTCATTTCCCTGCTGCAGCAGCATGGGGGCCAATTTTAAGAAAAACTTTCCCGTAACTAGATTCTATACATGGAAAATCATTTATCAATTTTCCATATATAGAAACTTATTCAAAGTCACCTTGGATTCAAGTAAATATGGTAATATGAATAGCAATACTTTTGCTATCAGACAGTGGTGACTGAGGAAAAGAGAAACCTGGGTGTATCAGCTGATTCTGAATGGCAATAAGCTACAAGTGGGATGCAGCCATAAAAAGGTTAATACAATTCTAGGGTGCATTAGTCTGGATACTTTTAGTTGAGACAGGGAAGTATTAGTACTACTATAAAAGAAATTAGTAAGACCTCATTTCAAAAATTGTGGAGAGTCTTGAAAAACTATTTTCAGAATATATTAAAAATTGAACACAGAATAAGTACAGAAAAGGGATAGAATAAAATCCCTGTTCTCTGACATGAGTGGGGAATGGGGGTGCCAGTAGCCTAAAAATGCCAGTTACATGGAGGAAAGGGATTTCTGGCTGGACATGGCGGCCCCACACAGAGCAGGGGGGTGGCAGCAACCGCACATAGAGCAGCAGTAGTGCAGGATGGTAGGTGGAGGCTACCATGTGCGAGCCCCCCAACCATGTCCGGCCAACCAGAAACTCCAGTTAACAGAGTGTTCCAGTTACTCAATTGCTGGATACCAGGGATTTTACTGTACTAAGATAATTAATTAAACTAAAGATTCAGAAGAGAGATGTTTAACTCTTTATAAATAGGTGTGGGTGAAGGGGGGTGCCATTGGGAAAGGAAACAAACCATTTAAGTTAAAAGACAATGATTGTACAAACTCAAAAGGATACAAACAAATAGCAAACAAATTTAGATGAGATAAGGGGTGAAGCTTTCTAGTCATCACAGTAGTGAAGTTCTGAAGTGGTCTCTTGAACATAGTGAAGATAAGGAAATTTCCAAAAGGACTTTAGTAAGCTTATGGAATGGATTTTATGATAGAATAGGGGCATTCTTGGAAAGCGATCAGAACATATAACATGCAGTTTTGTGTTTTTGATACCCCTAGGAAGGAACAGAAAGGAAACAACCTCTCCGTAAGTTGTTAGCACA